CAATAACTATCAAGCTTATTACTTCCTATGATATATTTGCACAGTAAACCAGATGTAAATGCTTAACAATGCGAACCATCCCAAATACAATTTGCTGCTGTACCTGATGCTGAGGATGTTGTACAATACGATTCTTCTGTGTACATACTACATTAAGCTTTTTTTATAAAGCAGCTATTTCCATCTGATGCTGCTGCAAAAGCTGGATTGAACTCTGCACAAATTTTACTTGACATTTCATAGTTATTTATAGATTCAGCAATTGTCAGAAGTGACATCATGATACCACAACTTCCATTATTCCATATGCATTTTCCTGCTGATCCAGTTGCCAATGATAAAGTGCATGAACTTTTCGTTAAATATAAACCACATGAAGCTTTTTTCTCCTAACAGGCCGTCTTTTCGTAATTTACAGTACAATTATTATTGTAGGTAGCACAAAATGAATCTGTCAAGTAAGTTCCAGTTATGTATGAACAATGAGTAGCAACTACTGTAACAGCAAGACAGGCTGTTCCACTCCAAACACATTAACTTGCTTTTAAGGCAGCTGCAGATATTGTGCATTATTCTTGTGATGGGTATAAATCACATGTAGCTCTTCTATCTTAACATGCTGTTTTTTATTTATTTACTGTACAATCAGTGTTATAGGAATTACAGATTTAATGAGTAAGGTTTGTTCCAGTAATTGAAAAACAATTAGAAAAACGCATACAATCAGAACCATTTAGATCATTTATATAACATTTACCTTATTAAGAGACTGTGCAATTATCAGTATTACCAGTATAAGCAGTGCAATTTGCTTTAAATTCTTAACACCCATTTCCTTTACCTAAAGATGTACATGCAATATTAAATGCTTAGCATTTAGCATGATCAAGTCCTGATCCACTTACAAGTGCACAATCAGATGCTGAACTCACTGATTAACAACTTGGTGGTGTGGCTTTATTCATGATACAATTTGCTTGTGTTCCAGTTGCATTAGATTTATAACAATTTACATCTGTTGTACCATATCCTGCACATGTAGATTAAATTACAATACAACCACTACCATCCTTTTTAACCGAACAAGTTGGGTCTACATTTTAGCAATCTTAGAATGTCAATCCACTTCCAATTTTTAAAGTACAATCTAATGTACATGCAGTTGAAGTGCTAGCATTAGCTACATTTGTGCATCCTTATCTATAAGCTTTGCATATATCTTATGTTCCTTTAAACGTAGAACAAGGTCCTGTTGCAAAAGTTGATAATGAATAACATATTCCATTAATCCATTTACAATCATCTTAAGCATTTAAATTTGATAAAGTCTTGTGACATTAACTGGAAGTCTTGTAATTTGAACAAACCGGTTATTTTTGTACACATCCTTAAGATCCCACTTTTGCAATTATTGTACATGTTTCATTCTGAGTTTGATATTTAAGACATTCTTCATCTGAATCAAATAGATCAGAATCTGGAGTGTCATCACAAATTGCATTTCTACAAACTGTTCCTGTCCAATAACAATTCTCTTATGTAGATGTAATTTTACAATTCTATTAAATTTGATATGAAGTGCAAGCAGAAGCTAATGGTATACATGCTGTGCCATCATCATTGACGGTACATTAATTGAATATATTATAGCAATCATTATGTGTTGTTAATATTATATTAGTACATGTCTTTTCAACACAATTAGATCCATTCCAATAACAATCACCATTAGATTTCGATCCATCTTTACAATTTTACTGAACTAACTATGAACAACTTGTGGGCTTAACCATACATCCATCTTAACTATTATTTGAAATGCAAGGATATGATGTTTAAGTACAACTACCTTGAGCATTAGTAGTTGTGCATGTGCTCAAGTAACTTTAACAATTATCAAATGTGAATTACCCTTTTGAGAGTGCTCCTGGTGAACCTGATAAGTTTGCAGTTGTACAAGATTTTTCAACGCATTTGTTTGATAAAGAATCCCAAAAACAGGTTGGAAATGCTGCTCTTGTGATATTACAATTTTCAGATGATTTTCTAGAATCGCAAGTTTTAGGTAAATCTTAGCATCCTTAAATAGTTGAGGTTCCATTTATTGTTATTGGATTATTAGCCACACAAGAAGATAAGTAAGCTTGACAGTCTGAAGTTGTTTAAATAGTTTTGGGAGCAGTATTGCAGGCTTTATCAATACATTAAGATCCTGTCCAACCACAAGATTATTTATTAGCTTTTATTTTGCAAGCAGCTTCTATTGTAATTGCTTCACATTTCAGAGGTAATGTAACACATCCTTTTCCAGTGTTGCTTAATGTACAACTTGAATAATAAGTTTGACATTCAGAATGAGATGTTATTGAATTTGAAGCCATTGCACATTATTTCATATAACACCTTGCTTTCCAGATACATATATTGTTGTTTAAATCTTTATCGCAAATTGATAAAGTTAATGAGTTTTCACATGTTTTTTCAACACATCCTGTATTTGTAGAATTGACAGTACAGGTATTCAAAAATTATTAACATAGTTCATGACTATTATTACTAGAGGGAGCATTCGCACAAATCCTATCTTTGCAACTTCCACTTGCAGCATGCCAAAAGCAAGGTTATCCTAATGAATTTTTGATACAAGCAACTTCTATTGAGATTAGTGAACAAGTGGTGTTTATTGTACATCCACCTCCATTTTTGGTTATACATTTATTTGCAGGTAAATATGTTTCACATGCATCATTTGTATTCAATGTTATAGGAGCATTGTCACATGTTCTCTTTTGACATCCTCCTCCTGATTACACAGTACAAGTAGATAAATAAGAAGTACATTAATCATGAGTAGTATTAGACTTTGGAGCATTTACACATGTTTTTTCTTTGCAAGTTGAATCCCAAATACAATCAAAATTATTGATACTTTTAACACATGCCGTTGAAATATTAGCAGCTGAGCAATCTCCATTTAGAACACATCTCCCCCTTACTTAGT